AATGACACAAAACACATAGTTTGAGGACTTTTGATATAATTAACGTTATTAATGTTTTGAATCCCACTCTTTTAAAAATTGGAGAAAACATTGGTTCTCTCTCAACCCCCCCCCAAAAAAAAAAAAAAAAAACAAAAAAAAAGAAATTGTTTCTTCAGGCAGAAGAAATTTAAAGATCAGTATTACTATGCCAATAGCTAGCTTGTTTGAATGAAGGCTGTAAGGTCCAGTATGTATGGGCTTCCATGAACCAACTCACCCTAAAATCTGAGTTGGCCCTGTTTAAAGGTCTATCTCAGTGTTCGATATTCTAGTCTGAGCAGCCTGATGTCGTCTTTCTTATCGTCCCAATCATGGTAGGTAGCTAAGCTAAATGAACATTTTTAATGCACTCTTCCAACATAAAAAACATATCAAAGCTTCCAAGGGGAGAGATTAGCGAATCAAACTTCTTTTATCCTTCCAATAAAATATCAAGTATTGTGGTCAATTTTAATCTTTATATATTGTAAACCGATACGAGATTCTTTCTTTCTTTTTGGCAAATTATGTAAACTTCATTGTTTAGCTTGTTACTTCATCACAGGAGAAATGTATGAGTTTATTTTTTGAAACATAAATCTGACGTGTTTGATGTGTTTAAAAAGTGGAAGACCCTAGTTGAGACGGAGACAGGTCTAAAGCTAAAATGCTTAAGGTCTGACAATGGTGGAAAGTACATTGATGGAGGATTCAAGGAGTTCTGTGCAGTTCAAGGTATCAGAATGGAGAAGACCATTCCTGGGACACCACAACAAAATGGCGTTGCTGAGCGCATGAACAGAACCATCAATGAGCGTGCTAGGAGCATGAGGCTGCATGCAGGGCTACCACCTACATTTTGGACAGAAGCAGTGAACACTGCAGTGTACCTGATCAATTGTGGATCATCTGCTCCATTGGAGTGCGGACTACCTGAAGAGACTTGGAGTGGGAAAAATGNTTGGACAGAAACAGTGAACACTGCAGTGTACCTGATCAATCGTGGATCATCTGTTCCATTGGAGTGCGGACTTGGAGTGGGAAAAAGGTTAAACTTTCTCATCTTAGAACCTTTGGTTGTGTTTCCTATGTTTTTGTTGATGCTAATGCTCGTAGCAAGCTTGAGGCAAAATCAATAAAATACTATTTTATTGGTTATGGAGATGAGGCATTTGGTTATCGATTCTGAGATGAGCAGAATCGAAAGATCATTAGGAGCAGAAACGTGGTGTTCAACTGTACAGTTGCTGATTCAACTCCTCAACAGCCCGAGCTTGTCGACCTACCAGAGGTCACAGTGCAGTGTAGAGACGACAGTGATGGTGAGAGTGGATTTAGTGCGCCCATTCCCATTATTCCACAATCAGATTCTGAACCATCCACACATGCAACAGCTACTCGGAAGTCTTCCAGGACTATCCAACCCCCACAACGATTCTCATCTATACTGAGTTACATCCTGTTGACAGATGGTGGAGAACCGCAGAGTTATGAAGAAACTTTGCAAGATGAGAATTCAAGCAAGTGGGAGTTAGCCATGAAAGATGAGATGGACTCCGTGCTAGGGAATCAGACATGGGAACTGACAGAACTTTCATCTGAGAAGAAAGCTCTACACAACAAGTGGGTGTACCATGTGAAGACTGAGCATGATGGCAATAAGAGGTACAAGGCAAGGTTAGTTGTAAAAGGCTTTCAACAGAAAAAGGGCATTGACTACTCTGAGATCTTCTCTCCTGTAGTGAAGATCACAACCATCATGCTAGTGCTGGCAATTATTGCTACTGAAGATTTGCATCTTGAGCAGTTAGATATGAAGACGACATTCCTTCATATTGACTTGGAGGAAGACGTTTACATGATTCAGCCAGAAGGGTTCATTGTTCAGGGACAAGAGAATCTAGTCTGCAAACTGAGAAAAAGCTTGTATGACCTAAAACAAGTTCCTAGACAATGGTACAAGAAATTTGATAGTTTTATGTGCAGTTCAGGGTACATTAGGTGTCAGGAAGATCATTGTTGGTATGTTAGGCAATTTGATAATTCTTACATTATCTTGTTATTGTATGTGGATGATATGCTCGTTGTAGGGTCCAGCATTGAGGAGATTAGCAGTCTGAAGAAGTAGTTGTCAAAATAGTTTGCAATGAAGGATTTGGGTGCTGCAAAACAAATCCTTGGTATGAGAATCATTAGAGACAAAGTCAAGGGCACATTGAAATTGACGTAGGCCGAGTATGTGAAAAAGGTACTTAGTAGATTCAACATGGACCAAGCCAAACCAGTTGGCACACTGCTGGGTAGTCATTTCAAATTAAGCAAAGGTTAGTCACCCAAGACAGAGGAGGAACATGACTACATGAGTAAGGTTCCTTATGCTTCAACTATTGGTTCACTCATGTATGCTATGGTCTGTACAAGACCGGACATTGCTCATGCAGTGGGAGTTGTGAGTAGATACATGAGCAACCCAGGAAAACAACATTGGGAGGCTGTGAAATGGATTATGAGGTACCTAAAAGGTTCCTCAGAAACATGTTTGTGTTTCACTAGAGATAGTTTGGAGTAATAGGATTTTGTTGATGCCGATTTGGCCGGAGACACTGATAGTAGGAAGAGCACCACCGATTTTGTTTACACCTTGGGTGGTACTGCCGTGTCTTGGGGTTCCAACTTGTAGAAGACAGTATCTCTTTCTACTACAGAGGCTGAGTATGCTACAGTGTCAGAGGCTTCAAAGGAGATGATTTGGTTACAGAGTTTCTTGGAGAAATTGGGTAAAAAGAAACAGAGGGGAACTTTTTACAGTGATAGTTAGAGTGCCATATTCCTTGCCAAAAATCTAGCATTTCATTCCAGGATGAAGCACATTCAGATTAGGTATCATTTCATACGTTTCTTACTTGATGATGGTCAATTGATACTGGAGAAAATCCGTGGAACTATGAACCTAGTAGACATGTTGACTAAAGGTGTTACTATTGAGAAACTGAAGTTGTGTGCAGCTTCAGTTGGTCTTTTGGCTTCAGGACGGGAGGATAAGTTACAGGGATGACGGACTGTTCTTGGAGGATTGTGGTTTGATATTGGTGATTGAACTAGCCTCCAAGTGGAAGATTTGCTGGGTTTCTTCTTGTAGACTCTAGTTTGTGTGTGATCCGGATGTTGACCAGATTCGAATAATGTTACGTGGTTTTTTAGTGAAATTTTTTTGATTCTCTACGGCCGCCGCCCTCCCCTGTAATTTCGTGTACGTATGCAAATTGCCGAATCACGTAAATTCTGTGTTATGTGATTGTCTAGATTACATTCTTATCGATCTTTGACTTAATTTCACTTTATTGTTGTCATTTAATTTCATAACATCCCTTTCACTGCAACTTCTTCCAAATTAAAAAAAGGCTGGTAGTTGAAACTTAAGCATCAAGGTTTGGACTAACACTGGGATCAATATATTAATTTCACCTGCCTGTTTCATGTGGTACCTCCACCTCTTCTGCCAACAGTTTCTCTGTTCATGGCCATGGCTATCCCTTTCCACAAATCAGCGAGTTCATATTCCTTTCCAAACACTTGGATCGCTCTCTTGGTAACCCTCCTTTCTTTCTTTCTTCTTCCCTCTTCTGACTCAGTTTATTTCCAACTATCTCGTTTCGATCCTGGTGCAACAAGCATACTCTATGATGGAGATGCGGTAGCTAATGTTGGGGCCATTGAATTCAACAACGTTAATTATCTATGTCGTGTTGGTCGAGCCATCTATGCAGAGAGGGTGCGACTATGGGACTCTAATTCAGGAAAACTCTCTGATTTCACTACTCGTTTCTCCTTTACCATCAACACACAAGGCCTTTCCACCTACGGCCATGGGCTAGCGTTTTTTCTTGCTCCCGTTGATTTTCAAATCCCACCCAATTCAGCCGGTGGTTTCCTAGGCCTGTTTAACACCACAACCAGTGACTCATCCCGAAACCAAATTGTAGTAGTTGAATTTGATTCATTTGTAAACCCCGAATGGGATCCTCCATTTGAGCATGTTGGAATCAACAACAACTCTATTGCTTCGTCAAAGTACACCCCTTGGAATGCTAGCTTGCACAGTGGAGATATAGCTGATGCTTGGATAACTTATAATGCTACTACCAAGAATCTAAGTGTGTTCTGGAACTACAGATTAACTCCTAATTTACAAGAAAATTCCAGCCTTTCTAGTCAAATTGACCTAATGGAGATTCTACCTGAGTGGGTCATAGTTGGATTTTCAGCTGCTACAGGTCAGAATGTGGAGAGGCATATACTTCAATCATGGGAGTTCAATTCAAGTCTAGAAGTAGAAGAGACAAGGAGAGACAATGGACGAGAGATCAGATTAATAGTGGGTCTAACAGTTCCATTGGGTATTTTGATAGCTGGTGGGATAATTGTATTTGTAATTTTCAGGAGACGGAGACGGACCATGAAGAGAACTGCAGAAACAGTCAACTTGAACTCAATTAATGATGATTTTGAAAGAGGAGCAGGACCAAGAAGGTTTTCTTACAGAGACCTTGTGTTGGCTACTAACAACTTCTCACATGAGAGGAAGTTGGGTGAGGGAGGATTCGGAGGCGTTTACAAGGGACACCTTACTGATCTACATAGGGAAGTTGCGGTGAAGAAGATCTCAAGAGGGTCTAAACAGGGGAAAAAGGAGTATATGACCGAGGTGAAGATCATTAGCCAATTGAGGCACCGGAATTTGGTGCAGCTCATGGGTTGGTGCCATGATCAAAACGAGTTCCTGCTTGTCTACGAATTTATGCCCAACGGCAGCCTCGACACTCACCTCTTTGGAAAAAAGAGTCTTCTCCCTTGGGCAGTGAGATACAAGATAACTATTGGTTTGGCCTCAGCATTGCTCTATCTTCACGAAGAGTGGGAGCAATGTGTGGTTCACAGAGACATCAAATCGAGCAATATAATGCTGGATTCAAGCTTTAATGTCAAGCTTGGTGATTTTGGCTTAGCTCGACTTATTGACCGTGAGCTCGGTCCCCAGACAACCAGGTTGGCCGGAACATTTGGTTACTTAGCACCAGAGTACATAAGAACAGGAAAAGCCAGTAAAGGGTCAGATGTATACAGCTTCGGGATGGTTGCCTTAGAAATTGCTACTGGAAGAAAGTCAGTTGATCTGATAGATGGGAAATATCAAATTGGGTTGGTAGAGTGGGTTTGGGATCTATACGGAGGAGGGCAGCTTGTTTCAGCTTTAGATGAGGGGCTAAGAATGGATTTTGACGCTAAACAAGTAGAGTGTTTGATGATTGTGGGGCTATGGTGTGCTCACCCGGATCACAGTTTGAGGCCATCAATAAGGCAAGCAATACAAGTGCTCAATTTTGATGCAGCAGTGCCAAATCTTCCATCAAAGATGCCTGTTCCTATGTATCATGTACCAGCTGGTACCCAATCAACTGGTTCTGGAGAGCCTATGCTGACTAACACAAGCATTGATGTTGGTCGTTAAGCAAGTGTGGCATCATGTATAGTGTTTGTGAATCTAAATTTGCAGTCTTCTTGTAGAGTTCTATTGTAATTTCACTTGCCCTCAGTTATTAGAGATCCATTAGGTTCGATGTCATGTTTAAATTAGCGCCAGTTCTCGTTTAGTCCATGGAATGACAGAATAGTGGAAAGAATAATCCGCAGTTCATTACAAATGAAGGCTTGAGTCAAAGGTTTCTTGTACAAGTATTTGGAAAGGCAACACTTTTCTGCGTTTTCCATTCATAATGTTTCTCACTCATATTCTTATCTAGCTTACTTTTTTTTTCCCTTCTCAAGCTTGTTAATGGATTTGATTAAGATTGAATTTAACCGATTTAAATCTAAATTCGATCTTAGAATTTAGATTCAAATATAATCTAAATACTTGATGAATTTTACTATCATAGTCCATATTTAAATCAATTAAAACAAAAAAAATAAAATAAAATTGCGCATTACTTCTAATTTGACGAAGAACTCAACTAGATCTGAATTCAATCAAAGTCACCAGTCTATTTCATCATAGAATTATGTGTAATTAACAATTTTTATCCTTAAAATGCGCATATAATTTTTATTTAGTCCCTGAAATTTTAATTTAAGTAAAAATTAATATATACTTCAAACACTATAAAAATACCAATTAATGAGATTCAAATTCAGACTCTGGACCCACCTCAAGTTTTCTTCAAGAAATTTCAAGTTTTGGTAGGCCAATTTTCCATGCACATCTCAGAAACGGGAAAATCCAATGGTCTCCATGCACATTTTATGAAAAAGGAATAATTTACCGTTATCAATTTGAACTTGAACTCCTTAATATCCCCAAAAACCATTAATTACTATTCACTAGGTTCCAACGTGTTCGTACGATAATTAAAGTAGATCATGTCTCCAACGGGTTGGTACTATTTCCAACGTCACGGACTTAACTATGGTATCCTCATATTTTTTTTAGTTTTTATAATTTTATGGGTTATTTTACAATTAAAAAAATTATTATTTTTGTAGCTGATTTACCACTTTTGTAAGTCTTTTTATCACTATTGTGAGTGTTTTTATCACATTTTTTAAAATACAAAAAAATTTATCACTTTTACGAGCGATTTATCATATTTATATTTATGAGTATCTTTACTAATTTTGTGATAAATATTTTTATTATTTTTTTTTTGGGTACCACAACCGTGATAAAAGTATCCCACAAATGTGATAAATTTCGGCATACTGACCAAATTTTGGGATCAAATTAAGAGCTCAAATGATATGACTGTATATTATTTGGAGTCTTTATTGGAGCCCAAATAACATGACACCAAATAAAAAAGCCTAAGTCAACTGTCATGTTATTTGAACTTTTAATTTGATCTCAAAATTTGGTTAGTGTAGCATTACTGAAATTTCAGTATAATACTAAAATTTTAAAATTTGACTCCACTCTATAACTTAATATTATTTTTTTTATTTGTATATATATTAGTTAATGTTTGTGTCTGAAGGCATGATATTTGGTTGTTGAAATAAAAAATCAAACCAAAAAAATTAGCAAATGGAAAAAGCACTCACAAATACTAATTAAGTTAAACTTAAATAATCATAACATTACATTGACTATCGCGTTAATTTGTTCAACCCAATTAAATTTTCATGTAATAACACAATACTTACGACCATCACAAATACTTATTTCAATTAGTATTTACACCAATGGAACACATTTTTCTCCATGGAAAAAAATAATAATATTCATTCTGCGAAAAAACTAAAACTACAACTCAAAGAGAAAAAATAGTTTTAAAAATAATAGAGATTTATAAATTCTAGTACTAATGAACCAAAAAATCTTGAACTTAACTGCATATAAGGTAGAGTTAACATAACCACATGACTATAAAAAAATATACGAATTGCTATGTAAGATCATCCTGATCTCACTGTCCATATATTAATTATTTTGGCTGGTAAATTTCACTTTGTACCTTGAAAGATTTTAAGTTTTTCATTTAATGCTTTCAAAGATTAAGTTTTTACATTGCACCATCAATATATCGAAAGTGTTATAATGTGACCATTCTGTTAAATTTTTATTAGTTTTTTCATCAGTGTCAATGAGTTAACTTTAACGGAAAAAATATTGGAAGCTAATAAAAGAGATATATTGCAACATTTTTGATACATTGAAGATTTAATGTAAAAAATTTAATTTTTGACAGTATAAAATGAAAAACTTAAAATCTTTTAGAGTGCAAAGTATTTTAAGTCTTATTCTGGTCCAAGTTGAATAGATAATAATAAGATTTAGAGCCATTAGTCAAAACACTAAAAATATAAATAAGGTGTTGTTTGATAAAATTGAAAATTGAATACCGAATTTTAATTGTTGAATCCTAAATTTTTAATTCGTAAACTGTTTGCTATCCACTGAAATTTAAGTATTGAATTAAACTAAACTGTTTAATAAGACTACAGAATTGACGTTTGAAAATAAATTAATTTATAATTTTACCCTTCTACTCTCTACTTTGAAATTATTTATAAAATAAGNACATGCCGGTACCACAGCTGACACATGGATAACCAAATTTTAAAAATCAATTACATTAAATACTCAAAAGATGTAGCCACATCATAACCCATTTCAGTTATGCGCCACCACCATATCATAGATTATAGAAAAAACATAACATCTTAACTGGTCATGATCTGAAATGTTTGGAAGATCATAAAAGGTGCTACGAAATAGTCAACAANATTCATAATATGCATTTATTTATAAAATATGAATTTATTTGGGTGTGATTGTTTGAGTTTGTCTGACTGTGTGCAGATTTGTGTGTGACTCCGTGTGTGTGTTTATGTGATTGCATCCTTCAAATTGTGTACGAGTTTGTGTCCCAGTGCGTGCAGATTTGTGCGTGGTCAATGTGTGTTTGTGGTGGAGTGTATGTGTGTATATTTTTTGTGAATCTCTGTAAATGTGACAGATGTGTGTTTGTGTGCCATGGTCTATGAACTTTTGTGTGTGAGATTCGAGTATTTTTGTTGTCGAAGAAAGACAATAGGAAGAGTGAATTATCAGAATGTTGGAGGCGTTTGACAGATAGGGTGAATAGGATCAACAGATTAGGGATTTTGGATAGAAGAGTAGTTAGAATTTGAATAGTTTGAGAAATATTTCAAAATAGAATTGTCATATTAAAAAATTTACAAGGCTGCTCCAACTGAGCACTTTCAACATCCAACCTTAAGTAAGGGATCCTTTATTGAATACTTCAACCAATTTTTAAGAACCACTTAACAAATTATAATACATATCATCTTTAATTATCAAACCAATTTAATTAAATAAGTGCGGGATATATTTAATTTAAGAGCTGAATTTGAATTAACAAACACCACCTATGTAAGTGTATTAAGTTGTCGGGTCCATATATGGACAACAAAAAATTACTTGCACCATCCCAATTCTTTGCATATACCACGTTCAGGTGTTCTTTATTCCTCCTCTCAGGTTTCAGGTCTTGATCAGAGTCATATCCTTCTAAAGTGGCATGTACAAGAAAAAAGAAGAAACCAAAATAAGCTCTAAGTCCTGAATTCTCTGTTTTTCAAAAACTACTTCTCCCTAGCAAAAACTTCTTGAAATGCTTTGTCCAAACAATCAAAGAGTACAACTATATAATTTTTTCAATGACTTAAAAAAAAATCACATGCCAGTACCACAGCTGACACATGGATAACCAAATTTTAAAAATCAATTACATTAAATACTCAAAAGATGTAGCCACATCATAACCCATTTCAGTTATGCGCCACCACCATATCATAGATTATAGAAAAAACATAACATCTTAACTGGTCATGATCTGAAATGTTTGGAAGATCATAAAAGGTGCTACGAAATAGTCAACAAAAAAAAATAGACTATGCTACATATTGAAAGGTAGGTTCCAATATAACAGTAGTAGAACTATGTTAACGTTATAAAATCAAAATGTAACATTATATAAAAGCATTAGCACTATGTTAACTGATGAAGGTGGAATTTTGAGCATGGGCCGCCACGATTACAGGCCAAAAAAAATTCCACGGCCCAGAAAGAATATCCTGGATTAGTCCAGCGAAACTGAGAAAAATCCAGTGGGGATTGGAAAGATAAAAGCACAGTCCAGGCCCAATCAAGGGCCAACCTAATAATAGCTCAAGGAAGAAATGAATCATTTGCCCCTAAACAACCTTGACATGCCACGCGTCCACAAGACAAGGGGACCATCTCTAAAACGGCGGCAGCGGCGCATTTTCGGACACAGAGGATGGTGGAGCTTAAGGTCCCAGAAATCGTGAGTATTGGGGGAACGAGAGAGAGAAAGACTTTTGCAGGACAAGAACAAGAGGTCCCCACGGGATCAACAAAAAGGCAAGAGATACCACAAGGAACTCTAAGAGAAACGACCCATATATAAAGAATAGTGTCTTACCAAGAATAGGGAACCTTTTGCTGAAAATCGAATTGAAACTCTAGGATCAAGCCCACTCTCCCTGTAAATGGCCTAGAGTCTCTGTAACTTGACTGTATTCAACAGAAACTCAATATACAACAAGAAGGAACAAGAGATTCCATTACAGTGGACATACTCTCAATCAATTGGCTGAGGCGAACCACTTATCTTCCTTGTTCTTTATTAGATTAGAAAACTCAATCTACAAAACCTACTCTAACATCGAATCTAAAACCCTCGCATACCCTGGGCTTGGGCTGAAATTTTCGAGACTCCATCATTAACATTATATAAAAACAGTAACAGTAGCAGTAGCAGTAACACTATGAATTTAGTTTCACTGTAATTTTCACATATACTATATCAAGACCAACAATTCATCAAAGACACAAATGCTTGAGTTCAGAAATGAAGTTTTCATCAAATAGATTGTCCTCAATGGACAATCTATAACATAAAAATTACAATCAATAGTTAGCAA